GCTGTTATGATTGCCATCCTCATTATTATTATTAACATGGGTGCTGAATATCTGAATGGAAGAAACCCTAGAAGGCTTTTCTATCACCCTTTTCCACTGCATCCCTCAAACACCCTTCTGGAAAGCTGTGAAATTTCCTCAAACAACAAAGGATGCTGGCTGTGGAATTCCAAGAATTGGAAGTCCACAAGTTTTAAAGTTCCCAAGGTTGGTCATCTCTCACTTATATGATCACAGGGCCAGAGTAGACCACTCTTGTCATTCAATGCAAACTTTTATACAATGCTTGTTTACTTTAAAAACAATGTGCCCCCTACTCAAGTCTCAACGTGGTTGACTACATTAAACTAAAATTGCACAACCTACTGTTATATTAAATCAAGATTGTCATTTATGATCTGAGCTACCTTTTTCCCTCACTCCTTATTGTATTTATTTACCATCATGAGTTTTTAAGATCTTGACAGGTTGGACTCTATGACTACTCTTTGGATAGTACAAAAAAGCAGTGGTGGGATCCAAATAATTTAACAACTGGTTCTCTGCCCTAACGATTTCTTCCAACAACCAGTTCACCAAACTGCTCAGAAACTTAACAACCAGTTCTCCCAAAGTGGTGCTGACTGGCTGAATCCCACCACTGCAAATCATACAATAAGGATTTTCCCCCAATATGGTTTACATTCTGTGAATTTGAAGCAGTATTTTTTTAACAGCAGGATCTGGAGGGAAAGGATTTTGTGCCACTTGAAGTTGGGACTTTATTCCCTGCAGCTACTCATCAGTCTAGCACAAGTTCTTTTGAGCAAGCTAAACATAACCATGCTAATAATTAAGCTCTCCTGTCATTCTCCTAACTTCATAAAGATAATGGTACCTTTATTTTAAAATGAGAGAGAGAGAGAACAGGCTGGTGGATATTATTTTCTAAAGGTTTAATGAATTGGCCTTATTGTATGGGATTTAAATTGGCTCATCAGGTTCATTAGACAGAACCTTTGTGTCTTCATCTCCATATAACAGAATGCTATTCGGTCCATTTCTTTCCCTCGTTATGAGTAAAAAGTAACATCTGAATTAGGAGATCTTAGATTTATAAAATAATACAAATTTGTATTGAATGCTCAGGTTTGGCCAGTCCTTTAGAACAGGCCAGACAACTTGGCCTAGAACTTAGATTTTATTTTGTTTCTAAAAGACAGTAAATTGCAATTTTTCCAAGTTGTTATTAGACATCTAGAATTAGATTGCCTGCTTCAAATTTTATACCTCAATCAGAAAACTGACTTCCTGTTCCACTAGCTTGAAAATAATCAGAGCTAGCCAAAGATACTGATTGCATTTCTATGTCACATGGTACAGTACAGTAAACTTACATTGAGAAGAAAAGATGTGTCAACTATAAACCCTGATTAGGGACTACCAAACAAATCTAGAATGGGATCCAAGAACAACCCAGGGCTTCCAGCTCTGGCCCATATATCACAGTAACATATCATGGAAAGAGCACCTTTGGGTTTGCTTAGCCATTTCTGGGGCAAGAGGGATCAGGTAGAAGCATACAACTGCATGGGTTTATTTTGTTCATGACACATCAGAACTCTTCCAGGTTCTGGCTTTCTATAATGTAGGAACATAGCCAGTATTATTGGTCATCTCTGATTTATCTCTGATGCCTCCTGTGTGCATCTTGCTTCCTTCCTTGCCATCTTTGTTAAAGTTTAAGTTGATTTTAGTGTTCATTTCTATTATTTTAATGTTTTATCTTCTTGCTTTTATAGATTGTATGCTGCTTAGAATTATCTCTAGGTGACATAGGCAGAATGTATGTTTAATAAATATGAAGGTGGGTTCAATATTTTGAGTGAGAAAGATTCTATACTCAACAAACCATAAACCATTTGTTCAATGATAATTTATGAACAGCAGAGCTAAAAATTACATTCTTGTGATGCCAAGACGCTTTTAATTTCTGAATTGATACAAAGGAATTGCCGAGTCCAAATTTTCTTCACTAAAACAGAATTGATATCAATAAAGAAAATAAAAGAATTGACCGATTCATATTAACAAGTTTAGAAAAAACAGACTTTTTTTTCAAAAACTTATTATTATTTATGGAAACGGAAATCCATTGCACTCAAGCTAATAGAAATTATACCATTTCAAATGAGAAACTCAGAAGTAATAGCTTTTTGAAACTTACTTTGGGTGTACAGTTACTCAGTGGTGGATGAAAATCTTCTTCTTCCACATACTTTCTTTTAACATATGTGATCTTAGATGATGCTCCAGGGTTTGGATTTCCTCTCTGGTGTAGTGCTGTGGGAAATAAATTACATATGGTGTAAACTGTGTCTGACAGGACAAAAGACCAATAAAGGAAAATGTTTGTAGCTCAGAATTGAAATGAAGGATTCTTGGTGTTCTCTGAGCTTGGTTGTTTTCTTACAGATATTTCATTACCCAAATGAGGTAACATCACCAGTGCAAAAAATACAAAAGAAAAAATATTCCAGCTTGTCTTTACTGCTTTGGACAAGTGTGTGTGTGTGTGTGTGTGTGTGTGTGTGTGTGTGTGTGTGTGTGTGTGTTCCAATGCAATAAAGAGAAACAGGAATATCTGTCTGTCTGTCTGTCTATATGTCCGTCCGTCCATTCATCCATCTATCTATCATATTTAATAAAAGTTTATGTGAAAAATAAACTGAAGCAATGGAAGCTTTTTGAAAAGTCTTCTAAGAAAGAAACCTGTTTATTTAAGCATAGTTGTCACAGTTTAAACATTCTTTACATACTTGACTTTAAGAAATTTTTATTCTACGCATCCAACCCATCTGGAAAAAAATCCCCTGCAACTTTCAACACTGAACTGTTTCTTTAGAATTAGCCCATATGCCATCTTAAAAAGACTAATAATTTTAATACATTGCTAATAAACAGCAGCTACTATATTCTTGAATATTCTTGAAAATAAAACTTTTTATATCACATTTCATTATCTCATATTTTATCATATGCTTATATGTTGTTGAGTGATGCTATTAAAAATGTGAATAAGGTTGAATGAATTGTTGCTGAGATAAACCAATTCTATGGAAGCCAAAAGTCATAGAGTTCCTTTGAGGAAGGGGAATCCCCACTTTATAAAACCTGTTGAGGCAACTAGGGAAAAAAGACAAAGTAGTGGCTTGTAAACCCTCCCACTTTTTAGAAATGTCTCCTCCCATTGGTTTTTGGACGCTAACATATAAAAGCTACCATATCTTTTTTCTGACCTAAAACCTCTCTTTGGTCTAGATCCTTGAAAGCACCAAAGTAGCAGATTTTTCCTAACAACCTTTGCAGTCAAATTCCATCTCCACAAGCAGCCTTCTCTTGTACCATGAAGGCACAATATTTTATGCTCTCCCCACCCCCAAAACCACATCATGGCATTTTAAATGAGATATTGCCTGTAGAACTTGATTTCTCATTGGTCAATCTTCTAATAAACAATTTCCCCTGAACTGTGAGTAGACAAATGGAAGATGCTGCTGTTATTGTCTCAAGTGCATGCATTTTTTTTTATTTTTCCAAATTTTATCTCTTTCACAACGGCTCTCTTATTGTAGAAAATAAAGTAGATTTGTATGACTCCTTCTGACAAGAAGGAACAATGTTCCTATGGGTAGACAAATCTTATTTGTAATTTGTGTACCAAATATGCATAATTTGCTCTAAACCAATTTGAAATGTTCTTTAAATTTAATATAAAGGAAGTGATTTGGAACAGGTAACCAAGATGTAATTACTCTGAACTCTTTAGAGACTGATGGATACCATAATTTAGTCTGGGTCATGGTATTGCAATCAGACAGTGTGCTACCACAGAGAGTAATTTTTTAATTATTGCTTGCATTTAATATGGGCACCTGCTTGGGAATCATTGTATTTTTCCCAATGCTATTTTAAACTTGAAACAAAAGCTATACAAGATAAAGTGGGCACAAACTTCATTTTCAAAGAGAGTACTGAAGGACTTAACCCCATTATTGTTTTTGATGCTAGCTATCAAAGTCGAGATACTTGTATATAGAGTTATTTATGTCTAAAATATTGTTTTGGCAACTAAAAATGTTTGTAGTACTACAAAGAAAATATTAACGTTGCCAATGGGGAAGGGGAATGCATTATAGATCACTATCCAGTTTGTTTTATTAATATGCATTTTAAATTTTAGCCTTCATTCCTAGAGGTCTTTTGTAACATATATTTAAACCATGCTTCTAGTGTGAAATCTAAAGCCAAATTTAACATAAGGCATTTTTAAGCATATGCAGAATCATAAAGCAACTATAGTATACTCATATATAATTGAAATCAGAGGTAAGGAAGAACCAGAGAGGCCTCCAGTCCAGTTAAGATGCTTACTTAAACTCAGGATGAGAAATCTGCAGCTAGGTGACTGTATGCACTCTGTGGTCTCATTTAATGTGCAGAAACAGAAAGCAAGAGAACTGTGCAAGCTTCCAATGCAGAAAGCCCTGTTTTTGGCACTGGGTTCATATACCAGCAACTCTCACTTCATTCATCATCACTTGAGGCAACCTCCCCCAGTGACTCTCCTCATGGGTCAATGGTCTTCATTGAAAAAGACTCTTCTATGCATACATCTCAACCATAGTTAAGTGATTAGGAATAAATCATGATAAGCCTCAGCTTTGTCTGTTTTCCTCCTAAAGGAATGCTTTTACTGTAATGTACACCAATTCATATTACAAATTTAATTCATATTAAGCAAATATTATTCATTTAAATTGAAGTTAATCCACTCCAGTTTGTTTTGGATAACTTTGGCTAAAGGAGATTTCAATTCAAAAGTTCTGATCCAACACAAAGCTAAGAGTTGCTCTATAAACGATTTCATTTTATTTGTCACAAACACAAAGCAATGAAGGGAGAAACACTCCCCTAAACTATCATACTGCTATCAGTTCAAAATTGCCTCTGGAAGAAAGTCCCTAAAGATCCCAGGATTTATCCTAAATTCAGATAGACTTACTGTAGGAACTCAGTGGAGTGAAATTCAGAGAGGGGGAGGGAGGGAGGGGGAGAGAGAAAGGGATAGGGGGAGGGAGAAAGAGAGAGGGGAGAGGGGAGAGGGGAGAGAGAGGGAGAGAGAGGGAGGGAGAGAGAGAGAGAGAGAGAGAGAAATTATTCTTAAATCGGGATCATTTAACAGTCTTGTCCAAGCAGTCCATAACATTTCAGCTTACCTGGGGAACCTTGTCATTAAATATACTGCCATACAAAACTAAAATAGTTAAAAATGACCAAAAAAAAAGATGTGCTATAATTCTATTTGATATCTAGTTCTGTGACTTTGGTTTGATTTTGGAACAAAAATGTCCACCTTTTATGGAGCATCATATAAGTAGCTCCACCAGACTGCCTAATGTGACCCAATCTAGGCACAATTTTATCATATCATCCTCAGTTTATAAGGCCTACCCTCAAAAGACATGTTATGTAAATTCAAAAGCTCATCTGCACCATTCACATAGGAAAATGGAGATTAAGTTGGAAAATACCTCTCATTTTGAAAAACAAAATATCAAGGATCTGATTAGAAGTTGAATTTACGGCCGCAAAAAGCAGCATGGACATAAAGAGGAGGCAGGTCCTCGCTGATGTGATCACCGGCCCTAATGAAGGTCAGGAGGATCCCTTGGCCATAGGGGGGCCATTGCCAGAGGAGCCACCAAGGGGAGGAGGGTGCAAGGCCAGCAAAAGGAAAAGTTAATATTTTTGTCCATTCATATTTTTCTCACCGGAGCTCAGAAAGATCTAACCATTAAGAAAAGACCTTTGAGAAACTTATGAAAAGTGCTTTTTTAAAAAAAGTAATTGAACTATTACCCTTGAATGGAGTAAGACAAAGGGGATGTTAGAGAGACAATCCATTGACAAGAGAACCAGCAAAGGAGGCCTTTGCCTACACTAAATCTAATTCATCATCACAAGTCACAATCATTGCTGCACCACATATACAAGCACACAGATTGGCCCCCTTTTGCTTTTGCAACATGGAAAGCAAAGCAGCCAAGAGAACAGATATCACCATCCAATGTTACACAGCAACCATAGGATCAGTAACAGTTCAAGCAAATGCTTCTCCATGAAAAGCATTAACTTTTATCTTACAGAGAATTTCTATAGAGCAGTTTATCCTAATGCATCTCTTTTTGGTTCATCAGTCCCCTTACCCCAGCCCTGCCTTTCACATTTCACGTTTGTGGCCTCTTGCTAGGTTAACTGCATGAAATGCCCATGTTTGGACAAAGCTCTCCTCTTGAGTACCAGAAACTGGGAGAAAGCAGCAGCCCAAACTGAAGGGTTCTTGCCTCTTGCCCTGCTGGTGAAATTTCCATTAGTGGAAAGCCGATTTGTTCACCCCCTTTACAAGCGCGATTCTGAACGATTTTGGATCAGTTCGGGCCTTTCCTAAATTTCGAGTAATAATCCGGAGCTAAACATTCCCAATCTAAATCTGCCTGACAAATTGTTTGTGGAGAGGAAGGAAAACAAACCTAGCAACAGCCACCAGTCAGTGTATGCAGGAGTGCTTAAGAGTTGGACCGGGACTTGTTCTCACGTCCCCTTCATCATGGAAACTTCCTGGTGGATTTCTGACCAGTCAGTCCTTGAGCACCCACTACCTCCCAGGACGGTTGGGAGGAACCCAGCGGGAGTAATACTACACTCGCTGCATTGCGCTCCAGGAGAAACCTGGGAGGAGAGCGAGTTGATCTCTAGCTTTACCTGAGGGAGGAGGCTGCCCAACGGGTGTCCGGCCGTCGCTGCCCTGCGGCGGCGGCTGCTGTTGCGCCTGCCCCTGGGCGGTGCTGCTGCTGCTGCTGCCGCCGCTGTTGCTGTTGCTGCTGCCGGCGGCGGCGGAATCCAAGGCGGGGCTGCTCTTGCTGCAACAGCGCGCTTCCCACAGCGGCTGGAACTCGCCGGCTCCTTCGGAAGAAACAATGGGCTCGCAGAAGCTGCTCAGGGGCAACACCAGAGTCATCGCGGCGCCTCCGATCTGCAAACGGAGACAAAGATAGCGCGGCCGGTCAGGTCGGGCAGCCGCCGCCTTTCCTACCTCCCGCGAAGCTCGCCCTGCCCTGGCGTACCCTTATCCGGCAGCGGCCATTGCGTGCCTGCGCTCTGCAGTCAAGCTGGCATTTGGTATCTCCGCCGAGCCCTTGGCCTTCTCCTACGGCCCCGAGGGACCGGTGCCTCCCGCTCTCGCTTGCCTTCTGCACCCGTTGCCCTCTCTCACCCTCCTCTCGACGCCGATTGCCTCAGTCAGTTCACGCAGCCGGCTCAGAACGTCTCCGTCGGTTCCGATTTTCCCTTCAGCACCTTGTATTTCGCCTATTGCTTAAATGGGGAGGACGACCCCGAGAACTCAATCACCCGTTCCTCCGCGATGCATGTAGAAACGCCGCCGACCCCGGGGTCTCGTTTTACGTCCAGCCAAATGGTTCAGGATCACAGTCCTTCCCCAAGCAACAGGGAGCCCTTTCTCCCCGTTCACTGACCCTCTGCCCAAAAGCCCTCGACTGCCTCTCACGATTCTTAATTCAGATTTCCAAGAGAGAGGGGGGAGAGAAAGAGAGGGAGAGAGAGAGAGAGAGAGCAATCTGAGCGATATACCCAACTGCAGAAGAATCACTTTATTCTCTACAGATGCAGCGATGCCAGATACGGCATTGTATATTAGTCTCTTACGAGTGGCTTGTTGGTTGGCCTGCCTCTCTTTGCCTCTCTTTCTCTGTCCTTTCTTTCTTTCTTTCTATCTCCCCCACCCCCTTCTTCCTTCTTCTTTCCCTCTCCAGGCGAAACAGAGCGAGACTCTTAGGTAGATGTTTCCACCAGCTCCGATTGGGTTGAACTGGATCTGCCTCCAGTCAAAACACTGAGATTAAGACAGAAAATTGGCTCTGGTTTCAAGCGGTGAGTTGCAATCCCACAGGAGCCAAGCACAACATCAGTGGAGCAAGCAGAATATTAAACAGGAGCAGGGATTCCGGGGCCAGAGCCAGGCTGTAAGCCATCTATCCAATCCCATTGCAAGAGAAGAAAAGGGAGAGGGAGAAGCAGCATTTCTGAGAAGGAGAGGCAACCCACATTACAATGTGCTTTCTACAGTAACGCATATACTCCTTGGCACACAAACCAGATGTCTCCTCAGCTCTATTTCCTACTCTTCAAGAAACAAGAATAATTCTGTTTTCCATCTTGAATATTTTGAAAAGGTTTAATGACTGCCAAAAGGCAAGTTTCTTACAAAGTCAGAATGCACGGGTGCTGGTAATAAATAAAGAATCAAAAGCTGATATTGTGTTAAGAATTATAATCTGCCTGGCAAAATTAATAATGGAAGTTAAAGGGGGATTCAAAGAATGGATGAGTTGATAGGAATTGTTTAAATCATTTAAGCCAATCTTCAGTTTCAACAGAAAACAGATCTGCTCCTCTTAAATAGGACAGTCTTTAGACCCTCTACCATATCTCTTCCTAGTAAGAACTTTGGCAAATTAAATATGCCTGTATCTTTTAACTTTTCCTCATAAAGCTTGGCTTCTAATCTTTTTTCATCCTGAAAATTTTCTACATCTCTATTAAAGTGTGATTCCAAAAATTGGGCACAATACTCCCAAATATTGTCTAATCAGCTTAATTGCAACAAAAATACTACTTTCTGCTATCTAGAAACAATACTTCTGTTAATTCAACTCAAAATTGCTTTGGGCCTTTTAACTGCTGCATCTTCTTTGATCCTGTAATGGTCAGCAAGCCAGTGTAATGCAGTGATTAAAGGCACCAGGCTAGAAATTAGGAGTCTGTAAATTCTAGTCCCACTTTAGGTATGAAATCAGCTGAATAACCTTGGGCCAGTCACCCTCTCTCAGCCCTAGGAAGCAGGTAATGGCAAACCACTTCTGAAAATTTGCCTACTGAGCTCATTTTAGATTATGATTTTGTATTCTAAGATAGTACCCAATCTCTCTAGTTTGATGTCATCTGCATATTAGACTACAGCTTCCCTCTCTTTTGTTTTAAATGTGGCTTCACTATTTTGGGATAGCCATTAAACAAATAGCTCTGTAATTTCCCCAAACTTCATCCCTTTTAAATATTGGAACTATGTTTGCCCTATATTAGTTCCTTGAAGATAACAATCATTTGTTCTGAAATAACTTCTGACAGCTTTTTCAATATACTACAACATAATTTGCCTGGTCCTGGAAACTTCAATTCATTTAAGACCACAGGGAGATTTCTTTGTAGACTTTGTAGACTTTATCAACCTAGAACTCTATCTATCCCTTGAGAAAATGAAAAAGTGCTCTCACCCTCTTCATTGTTCTTATGAGACTAAGAATGACTATTACAAATGAGGGGAAATCCAGATTTCCTCTGGACAGTGTTTACATGTCTGCAGACCATCTTGCCATTTCAGTCAACAATCAAAAGAGGTTGTACTTACTCTTGTGCATAGAAGGACTACAGCTCGATTCACAGGCTACTGTTTGTTTATCTCTCTTAATTGCCAAAAATGGATGGTTAAAATTTGGCAATATTTCTATTGGGCTAAAGATGAAATATGTGTTCCATTTTTACCTCAATGCATATTCCACATGTCAAAGGAAGTAGTAGAATGAATTCAAATTAAATGATTCAAATTAAATCATTGTGTCATTTACACAATGTCCCATCGTTTTCATTCACATCATTGTGACATAATGGCTGTGAGCAAGATTCACTGAGTTGTAGGAAATTCTCAATCTGGATCTGAATCTACACCCCAAATCTCTTATAAATGTTATGTTTGATATATTGTGGGAGGCATACTATCTTTAGTTCACTTGATTGAATAGTGGAATATTTTTGTTATTTTGTTGCTGTACCTTTGATTACAGAAAACCAATCTTCTCCTTGAGAACTTAGACTAACTTTCCACAATAGAGGGGCACTTGGGGACTTCCTCACTAATGATTATAGAATTACCAAGCCAAAAACTTGCAATGTAAAACCCATCCACACTAATTTGGGGCTACACAAACTGCCAGCTCTGCTGCACTCTGCACCAGTTGTAGCTTCCAAATGGTGTGCAAGAATTGCCCCATGTGGAGTGTGTTGCAATAGTCCACCTGTGACATGACTAGGGCTTGAATGACTGAGTACAGGGACTCCTGATCTAGGAGAGGCCACAACTGGTTCACAACCTGAAGTTGCACAAACGTTTTCCTAGCCATGACTTCCACTTGGTCTTTGAACAGGAGTCATGAGTGCAGGAAAACCTCCAAGTTGTAGATTGGATCTGTCTGGGTTGGTATCACCCCATCAAGCAGCATTACAGATGTCAAAGTCCTGGATCTTGGAGATCCATGTACCAAAAGCCATTCAGTCTTGCCAGGATTCAGTCAAAGCCTGTTGTCCCCCATTTATCCCCACAGCCTCCAGGCATCTCACAAGAGCAGCAACAGTATCACTTAGATGACCAGGGGTGAAAATATAGTTGGGTATCATCAGCATATTCCAGATACTTCAACCCATAGTGACAGATCATCTCACCCAGTGCTATTATTGAGTGGTATTAACATAAATATAACAATTCTTCAGTAGTGTAACCATACTATAAGATTCTTGTTTTGTTAAGGCCACCAAAATGTATGACATGTCTATTCTTATCCAGCTAGTCACTTCCTCAGGCTTCTCATTTTGTTATTATTTTCCCTCTCCATCATTCCGTTTCATATTCTATGGACTTTTGGGTAAATGATCTTTCCCACCTCCTCAATTTTTATTCTGAAATATTTTTTTGCATGCTTGCAAGCTTCAAGTTATATAACTCTGCTGATAACTATTTGCAAATTTTTGTCTGGACTTCAGTGGAATGGAAGCCCAGATGAAATATGAATTGAATTCAGTTTATAATCCTTAGGCTATCACAGGCTTTCCATGTTGCCAGCCAAGTGAATACATTAAGAAAACACCCTGAGGCAACCAAGCAGCCTGGAGGTTAAAATTTCATTACATGTGTGCAGTTCAGTTGGGTGATAGACTATTCCATTTTCTCCACTGTTCCATTTTCTCAACTATTCCATTTTCACTTACTATTCCTTTAGAATCATTATGATGCTAATGAGAGAACTGTAATTATGCCATTCACGATGTCAAGGAAAAAAAGGTATTTATGCATTTCTAGAAAGCCACTAAAACGGAAGTTAAATTTAAAATACTTGTTACAACAATGCTGCAAATCTCCTGAAATCCCTACAGGCCAAAAAGTGGAGTGGAGATGGAAGCAATGTGGAGTATTGGTAGGGCCTCATTAGTTACCCTACATTCTGTAGTAACAGCATGTGACATTACTAATTCTGAATCTCTTTGATTTCTTAGTTGTATGAAGTCATTCTTTTTTATCTGTACTTATGAAAAGTGTACTGAATTTACATCTTTGGATCAAGAAGTGTGTATTTATAATTGTTTGATAATAGCATTACTTGATTTTAAATTTAGTGACTAAAATATAATCTTCTCATGTTTTTATAGTTTTTAATTGACAGTTTTATATATTTATTGTTTTTTATTAAGTCCTATACACTGAGTCACTTTCATGTCAGATGGGCAACTATACATATATGATAAAAATAAATAAATCTAAGATCAATTTGTAGAAGCAGATATTCATTTCATCTAATGTAGAGTAAAGAAAAAAAGGGCTGATACAATGCAGAACCTTATTAACTAAAGGATATCTCCAATGTCTGATTAATTTAATATGTGAATTGGGGAGAAAGTCATTGCATACAAATCAACATTATGATGACGAACCTCTGGCATGCGTGCCACAGGTGGCACACAGTGCCCTCTCTGTGTGCTCCACTGCACTTGAGAGGGCGCCTCCCACCAGTCAGCTGGTTTTCAGGTCTCTTGCACACATGGATTGGGGATGGGGCATATGCAGGAGATGTACATGCATGCTGGGGACAGGGAGTTGCACGTGCATGCGTGGGATGGGGTGCATGCAGGGGAATTGTATGCACATGCGCAGGGATGGGGGAACATGGGGGTCATGCATGCATGTGGGGAGTGGAGTGCATGCAGGGGGATCATGCATGCATGCAGGGGCACACAGGGGAACACACGTACATTGCATATGGGTGCACACGCATCCACACACTTTCAGCATGCAACAACAAAAAGGTTAGCCATCACTGCTATATATGTTCCATTTTGAAACCTTAGCATTTTCCCCCTTTTTTCAATGTGGCTTTTTGTTTCCACCAGGACTTTGTCTGTTATTTCTTTTCTGCTTAAGATTAACAAAATCAAACATAGAACAATTCTAATGTTGCCATTAGAACCTAATCACACATACATTCATCTAGAAGAAGATATTAGAACTTGGCATTTAAAACGACAGGGCAGGACTTCTAGTAAATTTAGCATGAAAGTAAGTCACTGAAAACACTTTGCACAACAAGGCAAACACATTCATTCATTCATTTATTTACTCATTCAATTTTATGTATTGCAAACTATTTAGGTAACTCAGTAGTTTATAGTAATACAACACAGTACTTCATTATGTCTGTCACACAGATTTCAAGGAAGCTAATATCTCACATACTTGTTTGCTTGTGGAACCTTGAATTCTTTTCAGCACATATTTGGGATTGACTTAATTAAATAATAAATATATTTTCTCATCATATTACATATGAAACAAAACCACTACTCCTTCAACAATTTATCGAAA